GCTATCTCTCAACAAAGAAAGGACAAGGGATAAGTGAATGTAATTACTGTTGTTGGAGCTTTGTTGTCACTTGTTGACTACATGCTACCTCTCTGGTTTGATGGTTCCAGTTCCTCAGTCAATGGCTGGTCAGCCGCCATATGCAAACTCTGTAAACTGACTTTCTTGTTTACTTTATAGATATGGGACCTATCCACATAGATTCTTTAAGAAGCTGGGAATTCCTGGGCCAACACCTCTGCCTTTCTTTGGCACTATTTTGGAGTACCGGAAGGTGAATGTTATTAAAGCTTCTTTTTCTTCTTTGCTTCTTCTGGTTGCACAGATCAGCTTAGTTCCTTTAGTGGAAGTGATCCCCCTTGGGAGGAAGTTCTGAGAATTCAGGCTTTCAGAAACTGTGCCTGCCCTCCACCCCATGAGGAAGGTCAGAGTTTTCTTGGGGCTCTGTTGTCAATTCTTCGGGGCCTTATTTGCACATCCCACGTCTCTGGCACGTTAGCCCTTGATGCTCAGGACAAAGTGTTCAGACTTTGTGAACATCAAAGGAAAATTTTGTTTTTGCCCAGTGCAGATCCAGAAAGGGACAGTTACACTTGGTATTTGAGAAGAAAAATTCTAAACAGTTTTTTTTTCTCTCTGAAAAAGCAGTAATTTTCTCTGAAACTTTCACCAATCAGCTTTTTAGATTTACCCTGAGATTGGTAGTTTTGGAAACTTTTCTTTGTATAGTTAGAATTCACAACTGAAACAGAACCAAGAAGATATGATTTTAAATTTCAGAAGTGAAAAATCAGAAAAAGCATTTAATTTACTGTGTCCTATGTGAGAAAGTGGCAGTTCCCCATCTTTCCATGTTGAATGGGACACTGGAAGATGAGTCCATCTTGTCATTCCTCACTTGATAACTTTCCCATTCAAAAAACTTCTTGAAAATTACATACATCTGGCTAGACTAAAGAGGTCACTGGTGTCTTTACCTTCCTAATTCTACCCAAATTCTAGATATACCTCATAAAATAAAATGAAAAAGATACTGGACCAAAAGTATTTGCATTCTTTTGGACTTTTTTTTGTGCTCATATTTGATTTTCTCAAATGCCTTGGAGGCGATAACTCAGTCATTGGTAGGAATTTGGAGACAACACATGCACAAGCAAAAACAACTCAGACAGACAAGGAATCACTTAATATTCATTAACAAAGATAATTCTTTTGACATGTACAACATGCCAAGAAAATTCAAGAGTGATTTTATTTCCTTATTTCAGATATCTCTTCTATTTTCCCTCTTGCTTTGGACCTTTCTTAATAAGAGAATCCCTGTATCTGCCACTGAGAGACAGTAAGCCTGAGTTTATGGGATTCTAGTCATTTGTGACCCAATTAGAGATGAGGCCAGCATATTGAGAACCATAATGAACTTTATTTCTCTTCCCAGGGTATGTGGAAATTTGACTTAGAGTGCCGTAAAAAGTATGGAAAAATGTGGGGGTGAGTATTTGGAAACTCTCATGTGGTAGACCTGTTAGAATGAGGCACCCACTGCATGAAAACAGTGTCACTTTAGAGCTCTTGGGATGCAGCTGTGTACTGTGAGGTTTGTCCTGCTGGGGTCACACATCACCAGGTCCATCGCTGGAACCAAGCTGAAGCTCTTGCACATTACGCTTTTCTGCAGGCTTTGATGGTCCAGAAACTCCTAAGTTCACTCTCTGTGTGGTGTCTGGCCATTCTCCTCTTCTCCATTTTCTCTTTCTTGGTTCTTGTCTTTTACACAAGGAAAATTAGGGTGGTAGAAAGGGGAAAGGAAGGAATAGAAAAAAATGATAAAAAAGGATGAAACGGAAACAAAGCTTTGTAAATACTGAGAGGAAGATGGGCTGAAGGGAGGAGAGGGGACTGGGAAAAATAGAGAAATCAAAATATATCATGTATAGGTACAAATTCCCTATGATGAATATGATCATTATGTAAATCTAAAATGTAACAATAAACTTAATAATATAAAAATTACATAAGGTGCATTATTTCAGGCCCTGCTTTATATGTTCATAAATGTATGACATTACTTCCTTCTTACATTTATTCTGTAATAAAATCTAAAATCTAATACTCTAAAACTTTCAAGTTTAATCTTTGCCATGGAAAGATGGACTAGGATTTTAGGTAAACAGATTCAGAAGTGATTTTGTTTTTTCTTTCTTTCTTTTTCTTTTTTCTTTTTTCTTTTTTTTTTTTTTTTTTTTTTTTTTTTTTTTTTTTTTTTTGATTTTTGGATACAGGGTCGTGGTGTGTAGTTCAGGCTGGTCTTGAACCCACTCTGCAGCCCGGACTGGTCTCAAACTCATGGATCTTCCTGCCTCAGCTTTCTAAGTGCTGGAGTTACACGTGGTCACCATGTCTGGCTTTTGGGTTTCTTTTGAATTTTGATTTCAAACCAAGACTTTTCAACAGAAGTATACTCACATATTTCCTCATCTACCTAATTCTATTGGCTTTGAAGAAGTCATTTAGCATATTTTATTTTATCTTATTTTAGTCTTTTTCGTTTGTGAGACTAGATTTCACTATGCAGTTCAGGCTGGCCTTGAAGACACTTTGTAGCCCAGGCTGGCCTCAAACTCACAGTGATCTTCCTGCTTCAGCCTCCTGAGTGCTGGGATTACAAGCATGTGCTACCACACCTGGCTCATATAGCGTATTTTCAAACTACATATTGCCATGTGGACTTATGCCCTTAGAGATTTTTTTTGGGAGGTCTGAGCCACCTACAGCAACAGATCCCCTTCAGAGCTAAATGAGAGCAATGGAAGGAGTGTAATCATGTGCTTTTGTCCTAAACCACGAGGGAGAAAATTTTGTTTCCTCCAACCTCTTGATCTTTTCCCATCAGTCCCTAGGAACCACTGGGTTGCCTACAGTGTTCTGTGACTTGGCATAGCCCCAAAAGGCAACGCTATCCATTGGTAAGGGCTTGCAGCACTGGATCTCCCCTGGTCCAATTCCAAGGTCCTTTGCACCACTTAATACTATGAGCACTTGAGAGTTTGTCTTTAACTTTCCATTGATTTAATGTTACTTCTTGATATTGAAATATTTTATTTTATTTTTATTTTAAAGAGAATAGACATTGAAATATTTTAAAACGTAGGGAAAACTTGGGAGCATGGTACAGGCAGTACTTAAATACATGCCACCTAAACTTAAGAAAAGTTCCAAGTTATTTCTATCCATGATCTCTTTGGAGAGATATTTTTTGTTTTAGTGTATCTCCCTTGCTTGAGTTATATTACTCTTCATTTTATAAAGACTCTAGTGCCTTCTGTGGTCAGAATCCTGCTGCATGTCATACTCTCTAGGTGCTAACATTACTGTATGTTGAACAATAGGTGGCAGGATTATGTAATGTTAGAATTAAGACTGGATTCCTGGAATGGCTCCAGCGGCAAAATCTGAGTTGTTCATTTTAACCACCTCTGTTTTCCCAATACAGGTTGTATGATGGCAAACAGCCTTTGTTGGCCATCACAGATCCAGAAATGATCAAAACAGTGCTTGTGAAAGAATGCTATTCTACCTTCACAAACCGACGGGTAGGCGTCTATTTTTTTAAAAAGTGAATCTTTGTATATTATTCATTAAATTTTTACCTTGAGCTAATTATAGATTAACAGTAAGTGCCAAAACAAGCTATAGTACTTTTCTTTGGTATTTTTTGCTAACTGTAATGTTTTGCATAAGTATAAAAATAACATAATCTTATTAATAGAATAGCAGGAAATGTATGTTTATCCAATCCACAGAGCATTTTCACATTTCCTCTGTTTTATGTTCCCACAAGTGTGTGTGTGTGTGTGTGTGTGTGTGTGTGTGTGTAGTGCATGAGTGTGTGTAACAGCCAGTACAGTTCAGAAGCAGCCTTTTCCTTTACCATAAATCCTGTTCCTTGTCTTTTATAGTCAAGTGCATAACTTGTCTATTCTCTTAACAATTATTTTTTCTCTTTACAGTACTTGGGATTAAAGTTAGGGCCTTTGCACTGAGCTACATTTACCGTCCTTTTTTCATTTGTAAATTGCCCATGCTGGGCTTGAATATATTATTCTTCTGCCTTAGCCTTGCAGAGTACCTAGTTTACAGGTATGTGCCACCACACCCAGCTTAATAGGGTGTTTAACATAGAGAAGTTTTTTTTTTTAATTTTGAGGAGGGCAATTTGTTCATTTATTCATTTTATAGTATGTGTTTAGGTATAGGGTGTAGATCATGGTTCCATTTTTTTGGCCTACAGCTTCTACTTGTTTCAACACCAGTGTAGGGAAGCCTGTCCTCCTTCCCTTGAATTCCCCTTATATCATTGTTAGAAATCAGTTGTGTCTCTCTGTGTGAGTCTATTTTCTTTGTCTGTTTTCTCGCATCAGTCCTTGTATCTATACCTCTTCCAGCACCACATGGCCTTGATCACTGTAGATACACGGTAAGTCCTAACATCTTGAAACATGATTCCTCCTATTTAATATTTTTGTGCAGTTTTTTTTTAGCTTTTCTTGGCCTTTTGCCTTTCCATCCAAATTTAGAAGAAATGTCATCTATGTCTACAAAATTCTTGGTGAGACTTTAATAAAAACTGAGTTAAATCTCTTGTTAAACATGAAAGACAGTCTCTCTTGTTCCTATATTCAGCTTTCCAATCCATGAATATAGTGCTCCTACTTGAAGTTTCTTGGATTGCATTCATTCACATTCTCTAGCTTTTAGAATAGAAACACTATATATATTTTTGCAAGATATACATAAGGTTTAATAAGAAACTACAGTGTGTTTAAATTTTAAAAATTATTACAGCAAAAAACACATTGCCATGGTTCCCCTTCAAATGCTCCTCCTCACTCTGAGCACATTTATTTTATCATTCTTGTCACTTTCTGAATCAGTTCTGGTAGTACTTTCTCTTGAGTGTTTTTAGTTGTGCTGTTGTGGCTGCCTCAATGTCCTGAACTGATTTGAAATATTTACCTTTCATGGTCGTTTTGACTTTTGGGAAGAACCATAAGTCCCACAATGCCAGATCTGTGAATAAGATGGATGAGGACACACCATCATGTCTTTACAAACCTGTCTTTCCATTTGCTGGCGCTTGGGAGTGGCATGCACAATATTTTTTAATCACACCTTATAAAGATACTTATGAAAGAGGACTTCCAGAAATGCTTCAGAAAGTGGCAAGAATGATGGGATAAATGTGTTTGAAGTGAGGGGAGGATGTAGTTGATGGTGATTAACAACAATTTGTCTTTTCCTGTAATACATTAAAAATTTAAATATTCACTCCATTTTTCTATCACTTTTACTGCTAAAGTATTTCATTTTCTTTGGAGTGTTTATAAATGAATTTCAAAAAGTATTTTCACATATTAATGTTATATAAAAATGCAATTAAATTTTGTGTAACCTTGTATCCTAAGTCAGCTCTCTTGTTAGTTATGGAAAATGTGTTTTGTATATTCTTTGAGATTTCTGCATAGACTATGATGTTGCCTGAAAATAAGCACATTTCTACTTTTCTCTTTGTAGTCTGTCTGCTTTTTATTTCATTTTCTTGCCTCCGTACATTAGCTAGGAGTTCCAGGATGACACTGAATGAAAGTAGTTAGGACAGAAGCTCTTGAATTGTTGCTGATCTCGAGGGGAATCATTCGGGCTTAAGTGTGGAGATAGCTGAAACTTTTCTGTAGAATTTCTTCATCAAGTGGAGGAAATTTTCCTCTCTTCCTAGTTTGCTGAATTTTGATCATAAAGGGTGTCAGGAAATTCAATTTTTGAACAAACTGTAGTTAGGGAAGAAAATTTCAAGCAAGGAAATTGAATTATCAACTTTTTTTCAAGTCTCTCAGTATAAATAATTAAGGAAAAAATGGTTTCCATGTAATCATATTATTTCTTCAGAAAACAAATACTTTTCTAATCCTTTAAATATTAGCTATAATTTTTAAAAATCATCACATCAAGGCCTCTCTTTTGTTCAGAATACATCTGCTGTAGATATAGTTAAATACAGAACTGGTCTGAGGCAACATACAGCTTGCCAAGGAATCTGGTATCTGTAATCAATCCATTTCTACCCTGCACAACCTTGGAAGAGATAGTCGGACTGTTCCTGTCTGCTGTGTGCTGGAACAAGCATTTCCCCACTAAGGCAGTATTTGCATTTAAAAGAAGACTTAAATATAGAGACTAAAGTGTACACCATGTGACTGAGTAACCTGAAGACACTAACAGGAGGCTGGGTAATTTTGATGATTGTTTATTGAGCATCTGGCATGGTGCCTACCCCTACTAGACCATCACTAAATATGTGCTAAACAAGTGATGTTTAAAATCTTTCCTATAGCTGTAGTGATTCCCACCCTTTGTGAAATAAACTGTGTTTTGTTTTCGATTCTAGTCTTTTGGTCCAGTGGGTTTTATGCAAAAAGCCATCTCCTTAGCTGAAGATGAAGAATGGAAGAGAATACGAACAACGATGTCTCCAACCTTCACAAGTGGAAAACTCAAGGAGGTACTAAAATCAGAGGACTTGTAATTAAAAACTTAGAGAATGAATCTCGGGACAGGTAGAAAGTAGATCATAGTCTTTTTCCAGGAGTAGCATTCTGAGTTTGAACTTCAATAACAGCTTTTTGTTCTAAAAAAGACATTGTAAGATTCATTATAAATGTTGCTTACTGCCTCATCCTTGCAAAAGTCATGTCCTCTGCAATTTGAGTCCCCACATTTAACTGTGTTTGTGTGATGTCTGGTATTTAGATGTTCCCCATCATTGAACAATATGGAGATGTGTTGGTGAAGAACCTTCAGCGGGAAGCAGAGAAAGCCAAGCCCGTCTCCATGAAAGAGTAAGTAACAGCACAGCATATAAATTAACTCCCATTTCTTGCTGTCTGTATAGCCACAAGAGAGCAAAGAGGGGCTAGTTTTAACTGTCTACATCTTTCCCTGCTTAGTATCTTAGGAGCCTACAGCATGGATGTGATCACAGGCACATCATTTGGAGTGAACATTGATTCCCTCAACAAACCACAAAATTCCTTTGTGGAAAAAGCCAAGAAGCTTGTAAGATTTGATGTTTTCAATCCATTGTTTCTTTCAGTAGGTATGTCATTTATTTCTTCTCTTTGTTCCTCTTCTTCCTTCCCTTTATCATAATAGCTTTATTTGAAAGATAATTCACCTGCTTAAACAGTACACCTCAATGTTTTTCATTTATTCAAAGACATTTACATCCATTTACACTGTCGATTATAGAACTTTTTCATCACCTGAAAAATCTTGTACTCTTTTCAATATCTATCTCCAATCACCCTTGTTCTGAGTAAGTGTAATATGCTTGCTGTTTCTGTGAAATTGCCTATTGTGGACACCTTGTATACATGGACTCATAAAATGCATGGTCTTTTAACAGTGGCTTCTTTCATGTAGCAGGATGTTTACAAGGGAAATATGTATCATTGCATCTTTTTAATGGACAAATGATATTCTATAGAAATGACATATCATCCGTTAATGGACATTTGAGCTATTCTCACATTTTGACTATTGTAAATAGTGCTGTTATGACTATTGAGTGCAAGATTATGTCTTGTTTTCAAGTTTCCTGGGTGTATATTTAGCAGTAGGACTGCTTAGTTATAAAGCAATTCAATGTTTATATTATTAAAGAAACTGACAAAGGGCTGGGGATTTAGCTCAGTGGCAAATGCGCCTGCCTGGCAAGTGCAAGGTCGTGAGTTCGGTTCCCGGTACCGGAGAAAAACCAAAAAAAAAAAAAAAAGAAAAGAAACTGACAAAACATTTTCCACAATTGTTGAAGCACTTCATATTCCCTCTTTTATTTATTTATTTATTTATTGGTACCAGGAATCAAACTCACAACCACACTCTTGCCAGGCGGGTGCTCTGCTACTCAGCTAAATCCCTGGCCCTTGTATTCTCATTAGGAATGCAAGATTACTTTTTCTCCCCACCCTATCCAATGCTTGGTTTTTCTAAGAGTTTGATTTATATCCATTGTAGTGGGTGTGAAGTGGTATACATTGTGGTTTTTATTTGCATTTCTCTAGTGCTACTTATATTTGCAACATGACTTTTTCTTTTCTTTTTTTTTTTTTATTTTAAGGATAAAAGGAGGGACACATCAACAGACATACAACATTTTACAACATATCACAAGCACAATACAGACAATACAGAGTTCCAAACAAAGTGGTAGGGAATTAACAATGGTGGTTGTATTA